CGCTCGTCGGCCGCTGCTCGTCCCGCTGCCCGCCTGGCCGCGCCTCGCCTGGCCGCGCCTCGGCCGCCCGCCCTGGCCGCGCCTCCTCCCGCCCTCCGGGCCGGCGCCTGGCTTCCCTCTTCCTCCTGCGCCTCCGCCTCCTTCCACACAAATACCAACTCCTCAACCCGAGCCCAGATCTCGCCGCCGCTGCCGCCGCCACACTCCTCTCGGGCTTGGCCTCGCGAGACTTCCGCTCTGTCCCGGCCCCGCCCCGCCTCGCTCCCACTCGCTGGGCCACGCTCTCGCTCCTCCCTCGCTGCCAATCCTGCGGCCTTGCTCGCCGCCATGACCCCGCCCCATAGCTCGGGCTCCTACCGGATTGGGGCCGCTGGGGTAGGGGGCGGGGAGGCCCCCACGCGCGCTGGCTGGCCCGGGGCGCGTGACGTCAGCGCGGCGCCGACGCCACCGCTCAGTGTCGCGCGGCCTCCGCCCTTCGCTTTGCAACAGCGACAAAAAACGGTGCCTGGGGCCCGGGCTGCACTCGGGTATGGGGCGTCACCGCTGCAGCCGCCGCCTCAGGATCCGGTGAGCGGTCCGCGCGGCCCCGGTGCACGGGGGCTGGCGGCTGGGGAGCCAGGAGCGAGCGGGCGGCCGGCACTGGGGCGAGGCCCGGGTGGTCCGTTGCCGGGGTGCGGGGCGGCCGGCAGAACGGTCGCCCCAATAAAGTGGTTTGACGAGCAGCGCCTGTGTTTGGCTTTTCGCGTGGTCGGCGCGTGCTCTTCGCGCGGGGCTGCGGGGGGAGTGGAGGCCACGCGGACCAAGGCGGGCACAGGAAGATGTCGCGGCGCCCGCACCTTCCTCGGGCGCAGTCCCCGCGACGGCCCGATCGCGGCGGCAGGCGGCGGCGGAAGCGGGTCCCGGGCCGCTGCTGGCCGAGGTCCGTTGTTCTTTTGTGACCCGCGGAAACCTGAGACGGATCCGTTTGGGTACCTGTTTCCTGTAGGTCGTGGACTTGCAGGTCCGGCGGCTCACGGCGCGGGCCGGCGATCGATTGATCGCTCGCTAAATTTCCTCCCGCGCGTTCCTTTTGCTCTCTTTGATAATTCAGTATTGGGGGGGGGTGCTGGGGATCGAACTCGGGACCTTGTGTTTGCGAGACCGGCGCCGAAACCACTGAGCTAAATCCCCGCCCCCCAAAATTCAGTATTTGTAAGGCCTGTTCCACCTGACAGCTGCCAGTGAGCTAGATTTTTTTTCCTGCCACAAATTACCGGCAAGTTTTCTGCTGAGTAAGATGTATTGCAGCGAAGTGCTTTTGCTCTTCCGCATCCCTTTGGTCGTTCTGGCAGATTAAAGCAATACAAATAAAGACGTCCTGATTTTTAAGAAAATTGAAAACTTGAGGGCAATTCTGTGTGTGCTCATTTGGCCATTTAACTCTCATGTGCGGTTGTTGAGCCTTAGAATTCTCATTTACTCTTGTCCATTGGAAGAGTGTTCTGCCATTGAGGCCCATGATTATTCTGAACTGTTTAACACATTAAGCCTTAGATCCATTGTTAAAACAAGGGGTATCTTACTGGGAGCTACTAGGGAAGTTTTCCATATTCTAATTTAAAAGGTGACTTTATAAACTAATTATATCTTTTTTCTTTTTCTTTTTTTTTTTTCTGTTTTTTTGAGACAGGATTTAGTCCGGGGCTGCTTTGAACTCAAGGCAGTCTTCCTGCCTCAGCTTCCCGAGTGCTGGGATTACAGGCGTGTGCCACAGCGCCTGGCTCTACTCACAGTGGACCCTCGAGTTGACCGGCCTTATACACAAACAACTTGGGTTACCACCAGAATTTAATTGTAGCTTAATGACCAACATTGTGAGTTTCGACCTGAGTTCCAGCTGCTTGTGCAGTTGTAAACAAAGACTCTATGCCAGAGCCAGTCTGAGTCGAGATGTGGTGTTTGTGGACATGATTTCAGTCAGTGCTTTATATAATCGCTTCGATTACTGCTATCAGAATGGCCCCCAAAAAGCTAGAAAGGAAGCTAAGGAAGGAAGGGAAGGTCAAGAAAGCAATCACAATTGAAAAGAAGAAAGAAATTGTGGAGAAATATGAGAGTGGTGTGCGTGTTACCGATCTGGCTAATATGTACAGCATGTCGAAATCCACCATCTCGACAATCTTACGGAGAAAAGATCTGTATAAGGAAGCTAGTGTGGCTAAAGGTGTTACTCAAATTAGTAAGTCTCGATCAACAGTACTAGAGCAGGTAGAAAGGCTGTTACTAGAGTGGATAAATGAAAGGCAGACGACAGGTTACATCCTATCTGAGTCTATCATCTGTGAAAAAGCTAGGGCGATAAATGCAGATCTTGTAAAGGACAATCCATCAACGCGTGATAATGGTGAAACATTTCGTGCCAGTAGGGGGTGGTTTCACAATTTTAAAGCGAGAACTGGGGTTCTTAGCGTGACTAGGCATGGTGAAGCAGCCAGTGCTGATAAAAGGGCTGCTGTTGTAGCAGAGTCTACAGGCCCACAGGTAGACAGTGGTGATGTTAAGGAACTGGTGGAGGAACACTCAGAGGGATTGTCTACAGAGGAACTTCAGAAAATTGCAGCTGAGGAGCTTTCTGAAGAGGAAGGAGAATATCAACAATCAGTGCAGCAAGGTTCTTCCTCTGAAATAAAGGAAATCCTAAAAAAATGGACAAAGCTACAAATATTTGTAGAGAAGACCCACCCAGACAGAGAAAAAGCCAATCGTTGCATTCACTTGCTTAATGACAATGTCATGTCATACTATAGAACAGTGTTAAAGAAAAGACAGAAACAGACAGCCTTAGACCAGCTTTTAGTCCTGAAAAGATTGAGACCTAGTGAGCCTGAAGCAGGTCCTAGTGGGCTGCAGACTCTCCCAAGGAGAGAAAGGACACCAGAGAGCCAGATTCCTCATGTTCTTATGGAAGGGGCCTCTCCTTCCAAACAATAACCACCTTCCATTTCATCCTTCCTTCCTGCAAGCCAAAGATGTCAACTTGAATGGTGAGTACAGTATGAAATTGTTTCTGGTAAACCAGGCATATTCTGTAACTTTGTTGAATGCTAGGAAGATTATTGGTGTTTCTGATAAATTATGCACATTATACAACCCTTTTATTATGCAAATGTTAGGTGAAGGGTGCTTTGGGCGTTTCGGAATGCATTATGGCTATTTCCATTATTTCTTATGAAAAAAATAGTCTTGACCAACAACCAACTTGAGTTACAACCAGCACTCATGAATGAATTGGGTTCGTAAGTCAAGGGTCCATTGTACTGGGACTGAACTCCTGAGCTGCAATCCCAGTCCCCACCCACCTACGCACTCCCTTTTGTTGTTGTTTTTTTTGGTATCAGGGATCGAACTCCGGAACTTGCACTTTCTAGGCAGGAGCCAGAACCACTAAGCTAAATCTCCAGTCCCACCCCTTTTTTTTTTTCAAAACGGTTCCAGGCTTGGCTCAGATTTGGTGATCCTCCTGCCACAGCTGCCCAGAGTGCTGGGATTACAGGCCTGAGCCACCAAGTCCTGCTCTAGATTTACCCTCCCTCTCTCCTTTCTTTTAGACAAGGTCTCACTGTGTAGTTCAGGCTGGCATTGAATTTGCTCTGTAGCCTGGAGGCGACCCTCCTGCCTTAGCCTCCTGAGTGCTGGGATTACAGGAGTGGGCCACCCTGCCCACCTTGGATTTGGTTTTTTAGAATACTGTCTTAATGTAAGGGGTGAAAAATAAGACTAGTTCCTCTTTGCATCTGAGCTTTAAAACCTGAGTGGTTCCCCTTGGAGTGCTGTACCTACACAATTTAACAAATCAGATCCATTGTTTGTTTGTTTATTTTTTGGTACCGGGGATCGAACTTGGGTCCTTGCGCTTGTGAGGCAGGCAGTGGAACCACTGAGCTAAATCCCTGGCCCTAAATCAGATCCATTGAATTAAGTTATTTCTCACTTCATAGTTTATAAACTCGGCATAAATATTTAATTAATGAAAACTAATGTTTTATATGGCTTATTGCTTTTAATTTCTTTTCCCCACTCTAGTTGTTGATGGTAAAATCTTTTTAAGACATTAAGACTTGGTAGATACAGGAAGCCAGGGCAGAGCCATGAGCAGAGGCCCAGGGCTCCTTGGGTGCATGTGTGTAGTCACAGCTGCCTGTCTGCCTGTATCCTCCGGCTCTAATGCTCTGTTGGCTGTGCAGCACAATATGTAACCAGTAAAGCTCCCTACTTTCCATTAAAAAAAAAAAACGTGGTAGAGAGCAAGGGAAGTGGGAAGTACTCATTAGGCCATCCACCTTCCACATCAGGCTGTGGATGTTCCCAGGGAGGCGGAGAAAGCTGAAAAGGGTTATATGATGAGGGAGGGACAGGTGAGAAAGCACTAAGATGGTCCTGGTCATGGCCCTAGTGCCTGCTCCAGGAGTTCAGCAACCCTTAAGGTTGCTGTGGTGGGTGATGTTCTTGGCTTTTCTGCTTTAACTGTGCAGCATCTCATCACTAGACACACAAAAACGTTCCTGTCTGCCTCCATTTGCTGCTAAGTCAGAGTCAATTTAAAAGGACAAGTTAAATTGCAGTTTCAGGGTCATAAGACTTGAAAGGTGGGGATAATTTCACCACTTTCATTGGGCCAATGAGTGTTTCCTGTGAACTTCTGGAGGTCTTTTATTTTGGCAAAAAAAGAGAAAGAAATCATCATAGCCAGGTGTGGTGGCTCACACCTATAATCCCAGTACTCAGGAAGCTGAGGCAGTGGGGCTTACTGCGGGTTGGTGGCCAGCCTGGGCTACATAGCAAGACCCTGTCTCAAAAAACAAAACAGAAAAGAAATGATTATTGTTACTGAACTTAACTGGTATTTCTCTTAAACCGGGATGCTGTTTTCCTCCCACCTCTCTGAGCCAAGATGAGGCTGGTCGGTCTGCAGAGATTCCATGACCAGGTTGAAGGTACCATGACAGGAAGGTCTGCATGATAGTGCTGGACCGTTGGTGTTTTGAAAGCTGCAACTTTCTGCAAAGCTTCCAGTGTACTGGGAAAGTGAACATGGACATCTGTAGAAGATGAGTACTGGAAGCATCACCACAGCCCTGTAAAGCTTTCTAGAATCTCCAAGAAATCCGAGCTCACTAATGGCTGAGGAGATGTGGTAACAAAGAGACTGAAGAGTGTGCCCTTCGGTCACCTGACCCACACGGCAGCAGGACAAAGATGTGGACTGGAGCTGAGGACCCACTTGAAGTCTGTGAAATCAATGTTATTTCCCAGGGGTTCTTTTTCAGAAACTTTTTGGTTAAATGATCAAAGTTGATTTAAGACCCTGTGGTTTTAGGAAGGGATGACTGTGGGCTCAAGAATAAAGGCTGTTAGGTGAAAGGTGCCTCGCACTTCTGTTCTTGCTTTGTTTAGATTATTGTTATTGTTACTTACTGGGTGGGGAGGGGCTAAAGGTTGGACCTAGGCTTGTATGCCTGCTAGGCAAGTGCACTCCAGCCAGTCTCCATTGGTTGTAGACAGTCTGACCATTAAAGCTGATTCTCCCTTTTTTTTTTGTCACCAGGGATCAAACTCAGGACTTTGCTCTTGCAAGGCAGGTGCAGTGCCAGTGAGCCAAATCCTCTGCCCCTCTCATATTTATTTTGATAATTGGGACTGGTTCAAGCACGAAATGCAAGCTAAACAGTTTCCCCTCACCATAAACTATTTTGGCTGCCTCATGAAACTGCGTTCTGATTAGTTCTAAAGGCCACTCCATTTGCAGTTCTTCAGGTAGGAATTTGTAGTTAACTGTGAGAGCCAGGCATGGCAGCTGGGCCAGTCCCTTCGTTTTGCAGAAAACACTGGTGCACTCCAGGTCACTTGGCAGGCGGTGAAGGTAGAAGTGGGGCTGCCTAAGAGTTGGACTCTCCTACCTCTTGCTGGGCTGCAAAGTAAGTTTGGGTGGTAGGACCCAGCTCCAGTCAGATCCATGGCTCGTTTCCAGGGAAATGTTAGAGAAATCAGGATGGAAAATCCACATACATGTATCTAAGTTAGTTACCACTCATTGGGATCTGTACATGTAAAATGAAGAAACAAGGTGTATTTTCTTAATTGTCTAAACTGTTGAGGTTTGGTTTTGTTTTTCCCCCTTTGGTGGAGTCTTTAGGACCAGGATACTAAAGGAATAATTTTTTCCTCCCCAAACCAATGGGCATAGTAGGTTAGGAGTTTAAATTGTGGCAAGTAACCTAACTATATGTTAACAGGTGAGGTCCCATAGTATATGTAAAAACCTAACTCCCTTCATGCATTATTTATAAGGCCTTGGTCAAATTCTCTTAGGCCAAGTAGTTTATTACAATTAGTAAATCCAGTTATTGTCCATAAGTATGAGAAAAGTTGAGAATGTGTAAGTGAACGCAATGGTAGAGGATCCTTTAAGCCAGGCATGGTGGCTCTGGGAGGATTGCCTTCAGTTTGGGACCAGCCTAGGCTACATAGCAAGACCCTGTCTCAAAAAAAAAAAAAATTAACCCACGGGAGCTTTCCAGGCCACAATGGTTTTCACTGCAGTTACAGCAGTGTGGAATGGCAGGAAGTGGACTCACTGCATCTGAGGAGCACTCTGAGGTCCTGGTGGGGATTGACTGGCTGGGTGACAGGTGTGTACCATGGCTCTGAGCACAAATGCCCAGTATTTAGTTGTGCAAGTCCTAGGAAGAGGTGGGGAGTTTGGGGATAGAGGGGCAATCCTAGCCTAGTAAGGGGAAGACCTCCCTGAGGGAAAACTGAACGTTGTGAAAGGTGAGCAGAACACGAAGTGCCCAACCCAGCCCTTGGCTGCAAAACAGCCTTTTAAAATGTTAATTTCTGTATGAAAAGGAGGTAATGAGTCAGCGGGTAAGTTTGAATATTTGAGACCAGCACTGTGTAAAAGGGCTGTGTTTAGCCTTGAGAATCACCAGATTAATTCCCTGGATGGCTGCTCGTTCTCAGCAGTTGGTTACCGACATTGGGTCCTACTTTTTAATCTTTACTCCTTTTTTATGAGCCATTACTTGTCCCAGGTTATCCCTAGGAGTTGGGATTAACAGTGGAGGGCAGGCTGGGATGTAGCTCAGTGGAGTGTGTTCCTAGCACACGAAAGGCCCTGGGTTCCTGGAAATGGTCTCAGTCCCAGCCCTCAACAGTTGCAGAGGTTCTCAGCTGCAAACTCACAGGTGAAAGAGCAGGCTGTGTGGTGAAAAGCTTGAGCCCAGGTCCTGGTTCTGCCATTTATCATCCGTGTGACCATCAGAAAAGGCTGTGGTTTTTTGGTTGGGTTTGGTTGAGACAGAATCTCTCTATAGCCTGACCTTGTACGCACTGCCTCAAACTGGAAGTGATCCTCCTGCCTCAGCCTCCCAAGTGCTGAGATTACAGCCGTGTGCCACCATAGCCAGCTTATAGTTACTTAATTGCTTCTTTGGCTACAACACTATTAAAGAGGCGAGGGCCAGGGATTTAGCTCAGTGATTTCGATGCCTGCCGTGTAAGCCCAAGGACCTGAGTTCAATACCCCGTACCAAAAAATAAAAAAGGAGGCAAGGTAGGCAGCACATGCCTGTATATCCAGCACTCAGGAGGCTGAGGCAAGAGGATCGCAAGTTCAAGGCCAGGCTGGGCTATGTGATGAGACCTTGTTTCAAAAACCAAAAAAGTGCAATGTTTGTGCACTCAGTGCTAGTTCGCCTTCTGTTACAGTTGGGGTCTGGATGTCCCCCCAAAGCCTCACAGGGCCTTAGACTTGATGGAGAGTGTGTGAGGCTGGAACTGGTCCGTGGTGCAATGCTAGGCCCAAGGGCACCAGGACTAAGGTGAGAGTGCTCCCGCCCTAAGCACCTAAGCAGCCTGGGTGGGATGACGGGCGGAAAGACGCTGTTAAATTCCTGTTATCCTTCGGCCTTGTGCACGCCGCATGGCTTCTCCTCTGCGAGGCCTGTTTGCCATCCCAGCCTGGGAGCCGGCTGATTATGGACTGAAACCCCTATGAACTATGACCCAAATAAACCCCTTCCTTTTTAACTTTGGGTGTCAGGTATTTTGTCTCAGCAAGGAGAGAAAAGTAAGACCCCTTCCTCCCCGGCGTCCTCATCCCCACCACCTGTGTGTGATTTGCTTTCGGGCAGCAGTGAGTGACTGGGGGCCTGGAGCTCCCTTGCTTTCTCAGTGTGGGCCAGATGCAGGGGATTGGCTGCGTTCATGGGGCGTTTGGGGTAGCTCAGAGCTGGGTGGACTCCTGCTGAAAGGAGAACAGACACAGTCGTGGGTGGCATCCTGCTCACTTCCGAGGAATGGCTCAGGATGTCCCTGCAGTATTTTGCTGAAGTGACACTGTTGTGGCCACTCAGAGCACGCGAATCTCCTAGCCACTCTGGTGACACCACGTCAAAGGCAGCCTTTTCCTGTGGCCCTGAAGACCCGGCGCCCCACCTGCCGTCCGCCTCTCCCACCCCGGCCCCAGACCCAGACCGGCGGGGCGGCTCCCGTCTCCTAGCCCTCTTCGTAGTTTGACCTTGCAGCACCAGCTGCCTTCGTTTCCACCACTTTGCCACTGCCGTGCCTGGGTCCCTGTGGTTCCTCAGAACAGCAGCGCATCCAGTCTTCTCCTGGTTCTCCCGCCTTCTATCCCACTGTCTCTTTATCTCAGCCCAAGACCTTCAGTTCTTAACCCCTCATTCTTCCTTGCTCAGACCTGAAGTCCCCGGCCATCCCCAGCACCCTCTGCTTCTCGTACCCAGCCCACTTCCACCTGCCTCTCCTTGGGAAATCTCAATCGACTGGAGGAAACACTGCTGCACATCTGCAGTTTTCCCACAAATACCCACGTCTGCGTTATCAGCTGAGTGTCGGGTGGCACGTAGAAGATGTTTGGGGGCTGCAGGTGTGGCTCCAGGGTAGAGGGCTTGCCCAGCATGTGCCAGGCCTTTGACTCCATCCCCAGCACAAAAGAAAGGAGAAGCATTGATTTCCTTGTCCTAACTCAGCCCAGTCTCCTGTGTCCATCTCCCTACCCCTGTCAGCAGCCTGCTTCCAAAGAATCCTCCTTTAGGAAAACGGGGGGGATCAGAGTTCCTCTTCTGAGATGCCAGTTGTACCCATTCTCACCTCCATTATCCAGCAGAAAGCTTCCGTCCCGGGCCGCGCACACCTGTGGTCTTGTCCCCACCACCACCCTGTCCCCTGGACCCTACATCCCTATCTCCCTATCTTCCCTGGGGACCTGCCGCCTCCCCCCGCCCCGTGCTCCTGGCGCTTTTCCTTCAGGTCTCTCCCAGCCTGGGAGCACCAGGCCGCGGGCCCCTGTGTCGCCCTCCTGCCCTTGCCACCAGACCGCCATCAGCACCTCGTGTGTGCCAAGCAGAAGACTTGAACCCTTGTGTCTGTGCCCTCCCTGGCACCGGGAAGCAGCTCTTGCTCCATCCCGGGGATTCCTGCCTGGGCTGGCTCAATAGTTCAGCTCCTTCCTTCTCCTTGTCATTGCCATCCTCAGTTCCAGCTTGTCCTCCTTGCCTCTGCTCCTGCTCTGTGCTCTCCTGGGTTATTCAATCCTGTGTGGCTTGGAGGCTGGGGCAGGATGCACTGAGGAGCTGGTCTAGCTGAGGCCCTTGGGAGGCCCATGAAAATCTGGGCAGGAGTGACGGGGTCCCGTGTTCCAAATGGGAAAACCCAAGAAGCTGGATGCACACTTGTGATCCCAGCACTCAGGAGGCTGATGCATAAGACTAGGCAAGGTTACATAGTGAATTCAAAGCCAGCCTGGACTACATAGTGCGGCTCTGTCTCAACCAGAAACAACCAACCCCCCAAACCCAGAAGGGCTTTGGGGAAGGAGGGGAAAGCAGGCTGAGCAGCTGCTGGCAGGGGTGCAGGCGAAAGCAGCCCAGGGGAGCCTACGCAGAGACAGTAGCAGTGGGGATGAGGAGAAGCGTTGCAGAAATATTTGTGAGGAAGTCACCAGGACTTGGTGGCTGTGAGGAATTAGGGAAAGGAGTGGAAGATGGTTTCCAGGTTTCGGTCATAGGTGCCCAGTGGGAGTGGGCAGAGGGAGGCCGTGAGCAGGCCTAGCATGGGGTGTGGGGTCCCCAGAGCAGTGCCCCACAGCCCGAGAGCCCTGGGGATCACCCACCATCTCTGACTTCTCCCTTTCTCTAATTCCTCAGAACCTCCAAGTCCTGGGGACTTGACTTTGTAAATATTTCACCAACGCCTCTCCCAGGCCTCCACTTCTGTCCTCATGCCTGTGCCTCTGCCAGCACTGCTCAGCCTCCTCTTTCCCCAAGACACTCCTGGGATTCCTGGCTGGAACCCAGGACCCCATCACCCGGCAGAGATTTTCCTGGGGCTCCTAGGGCCCAG